CACGCTTTCCATTCATTTCCATTCCCTTGGACAGGAATTACAATTTCAGAATCTGTCCCATAAAAATAATAGTCTTCTAAGTATTATTTAAGGAAAAATAGGATAAAGATATTTCTAAGGGCACACATATAATTGAGCTGTATGTTGTGGTTGTAAGACAGACTTTCTATACATCATTTCTGAACAGAGAGATACAGGCTTATTTTCTCTAAGCCTGTGTCTGATGTCAGGCATAATGAAAACAAGTGTGAAGAATTGAGACCGTGTGTGGTGCAAAGAAATTCTTAATCCTTCAGCAAAAATTAGAAACTAAAAAATATATACGTATACATCTGGGAGGAGGCGAAAGAGTAAAATTATCACTTATGGAATTATTTGGATTGAGAAATAAAGAGAACCAGGGTAAATTATCTAGCATGAAATGGAAATAAATCCACCAGCAAAACTTTACGCAATTATTGAGTACCTGATTTGTGCAGAGCTGTCTACAAAGTACAAGGGGAAAATAGAACAGCAATGATCGATGTCACCAAAGGGCTCACAGTCTAGCTGGGGAAGAGGCAGCGCGTGACAAGACCCTAACGCCACAGACCTGGAGGCTCTGAACACGGGAGCATGCGCAAAAAGAGACTGGGCAGGGAGGCTGGAATCAGGGAGGTGCTGTTTAACTTCTAAATTGCCCAAATATGCAGAAAGAAAGGGGCCTGTAAGTCTTGCTAGAAAAATGCACTTCCACGGCCTCTCATATATACTTTTGTCTCGGCATGAATACCGTGTTTGCACCAACAGCTTTGCTTCGTGGCTGCAAAAGTCTGCCCCGTGGGTATATGGCGTTGTGGTAGGCAGATGTGGGTCCTCCCGAAAGATGTCCATGTCCCGATCCCTGGAATCTTTTGCCTGGTACGGCAAAAAGGATTTTGCAAATGTGATTAAGTCAAAAGGCTTTGATGCGGGAAATTATCGTGTATTATGTGGGCGAGCCCAATGTAATCATGAGTCCCTAAAGTTGGAAAACCGCTCCTGGTCGTGGTTAGAAAGAGAGATGTGGAGGGAAGCAGGGTCAGAGAGATGCTGCGTGTTGGCCTTGAGGAGACAGCGGGAAAGGAATTCAGGTAGGCTCTAGAAGCCAGAAAAGGAAAGCAATGGGTTCTCTCCTGCAGCCCACGGAAAGGAACACAGCCCTGCCAACACCTTGATTTTGGTCCAGTGAGAGCCAGGTCCGACTCCAGGCCCACAGAACTGTAACGTAATACATGTGTGTGGTTTTAAGTCACTGCCTTTGTGGTAATTTGCTACACCAGCAATAGAAAACAAATACAGTTCTTTACTCTAACCCACCCGCCCATGCGTTGACTACCTCTTAACTTTCTGAGCAGTGGTTTTCAGGGATATATGCATGTGTGTGTTTTGCATTTGAACCATTTTCCTGTTTTTTTTTTTTGAGACAGAGTCTCACTGTGTTGCCCGGGCTCGAGTGCTGTGGCGTCATCCTAGCTCACAGCAACCTCAAACTCCTGGGCTCAAGCGATCCTCCTGCCTCAGCCTCCCGAGTAGCTGGGACTACAGGCATGCGCCACCATGCCCGGCTAATTTTTTCTATATATTTTTAGTTGTCCAATTAATTTCTTTCTATTTTTAGTAGAGACGGGGTCTCGCTCTTGCTCAGGCTGGTTTCGAACTCCTGAGCTCAAACAATCCGCCTGCCTCGGCCTCCCAGAGAGCTAGGATTACAGGCGTGAGCCACCGCGCCCGGCCCATTTTCCTGTTCTTGAGTAACAGGCAAGAGGAGAACTTTGAGGAACTCCATTGCCAGAGAAGATGAGAAGAATTTCGAGGAAGTTCAATAGTTTTGTTATCGAAGTTTTCTGGCTTTTTTTGGTTTCTGTAATTCATGTTTCCATCTCAACACCGGCAGAGTGTCTGGCAAATAACAATGTTCAGTGAACACTTGTTGCCTTGAGCAGAAATCAGTTCTGTCATGCTGCCATGGAGGGCTATGTAAATAGCTACTTTTAAAAAATCCTCAAATTTATTACCTAGGGTAGGGAAGTACAACCTTTAAATGATTCAACAAAACTTAAGGTGAGAGAACTGGACACAGAGACGTCTTCAATACCTATATCTCAGTGACTGAGTATCCTACAGCCACACACTGGAATCAAATACCATGTTAGGGTTTAAATGAATGAGAACCTTTCCATCCTGAAATATGATAGGGAATTCCGTCTAGAATATATTAAGCGAAAAGCAGCAAGTTGCACAACAGTATAGATGCCCATTTTTTACAAAGCTCCAGCCTTCACTGGGTACTTCTCTTAGTTTTGCTCACCCTGATTATTTTATACTCTGAAAACTCTCTTTTATTCTTCCCTTATAACCATAAAAACTGCCATGAGAACAGTATGGCCAGGAGCGAGGCAGTCATTACCCAAGGAGAGTACATGTGAGTACAGGGTGGATGTTTCCCCTGACTTGACAGTGTGTACTTACACGCAGTGGCTCCACCCAGAGCATGTGCAAGCATACATGTCACATATGGAGAAAGCACATGTAGTAAAATACCAAGAAATTAACATTCCTAGGAGAATACATTCAACTATTTTTCGGGCTTCTCTGTATGTTTAAATTTTTTCAAGATGTTAATGAAAAGATGGGGGAATATTATGTCACCTGAACTTTAATCCACTGCAAAACTTAACGCGAGCAGGTTTACTAGACTGATTCGGCTGGCACAAGGTGGGCCATAGCTGCTTAATTTTGTAACTTTTAAAATTGTCCAGGTGAACTGTATTATTCTAATACTTGAGAAATTATTTATAGGTATGTCTTACACATTTATTAGTTCCTAATGTGCTAGAGATGAAATCTAGCTTTTTATTTAAAAAATAAAAGCAGGAGGGTTCAACTACTGTAATTTTCTTAGTTTCTCAAAATGGACCAAAATGGGGCTATGTTTTTTCTACAGAGAAATTTTATACAACTCTGCTTAATAACAAGGCAAAATATAGGAGTAGATAATGGATAGTGATCAACATTTTATAGGTCTCCACACATTTCTATGAGCATATGCTTGTTAGAGAAATACAACAGAAAACACATTGGATTTTCAGCAATCAGATCACTAATATAGTGAATTTTCTATTTCTTCCCATGAAGCTTTGATGGGTTTTATTACACGCAGTTCTCCTAAGCCTAAAACTCTCTCTAAAGGAAATAGGACCTAGGACAATTAAAGGACAATTAAAAACCACTGAAAAGCCAGGTGTGGTGGCATGTGCCTGTAATCCCAGCTACTGGGGAAGCTGAAGCGGGAGGGTCCCTTGGGCCCAGCAGTTTGAGGCCAGGCTCGGCAAAATTGCAAGAAAAAAATCTTTTTAGTTGAAAAAAGAAAAAAAAAAAACAATGAAAACATCAACTGTATTCACAGAGTTGTAGATCATATTTAAGAACTGTGAAATAAGGGAAACCCCAAAGAGAGCAGCTTCAACACCTATTTACCCTGCATTCACAGACTAACCGGAAGCATTTGGCATGGACAGCAAGCTTGGACTCCAGGAATTCTCAAACATGTCTAGACGCCTTGGAGCACCCTGTCTTACTACCATTTTACTTAACGAAGGCCTTGTCCAATCCGTTCACTCCTGTCCTCATTCAAGATACAAAGATTTAAGCACAGGCAAAATGATATTCCCGTGCTCTTTTAAAAGGACTTTGATTTTCATTGTGAACCCTGGCACGTTTCATGATTTCATGATTCGTATGTGCATCCATGTCTATGCTTGCTCTAGTACTTCTAAAAACATAGTTTAGCTATAGTATAGTATAGCTATTCTGCTTTCTACTGAATAAGCTCAGATTTAGAACTCAGATACAACTCTTTTAAAGGGAACGCAAAATTCAGACTGAAAATGGCTGGCTCATACATCTATAAACAGAACTTAAATCACTCACATTTATTCATTAAGGCATGCAGAACTTGGAAGACTATAATATACTTATTTTTAAAACCTGAGCCAAAAAGTACATATTGCTTACACAATATTTCTATTTTTCTTGGACTGAGACACAATCAATGTTTCAACACAGCCTGTGCAAGTAACCAGCTAAGCTTTGATATTCCTTCGCAAGTAATTCCTGATGCCTAAAAGGGATTAGGCTGCATTCACTAATTCCATGAATTCTAACAGACCGTACTTTTGGATGCAACTGTGTCATAGGATGTACAGAAAATAAATTCAGTACACCAAGATAAATATACTTCAATGTGAGGTTTTAAAGTGCTACCAGGAAGTCAAATAGTTGCCTACTTATTGTTTACTGAATTTTAAAATGCCCTACACCGATTTTGCCAAGAACTCAGATACTATACTCAATGACAATCACTTGATTCTTCAAGGAACTTTCAAGATACAGGTCTTTTTTTTCCCCCCTCGCTGGGCCATAGCTTAGACATGGGAAATAAACAGAATGGTCAAGATTTAGAAGAAAAATTCCTGCAAAATATACTGCAAAAGCAAATCCACTTTCTTTCCCTCCCTTTCCTCTGCAATATTCCCTTTGAGCTCAGGTTTTCTAATTTTAGGGGGCATCGCCCCATAGTGTCCTCATTTAAAAGATGTTCCTTAGTCCCACAGCCCTGAAATCCTAAGTTAGTAGGGTCTGGGGAACCAGGCAGAGGAGCGTGCTTTTGACAAAGACTCCCAGGTGATTCTAATGCAGGTGGGTCTGGACCACTTTCTAAAACACCAAAGACAGTTCTTCCTTCCAAGATCACATGAATTGCATGGACCTCTAAGTACCCAACAGTATCTCTATAAATATGAACCTTCACGAAGCTGCTTTCCTTAAGTGCATACTCCACTTAGCTCACTTCCTCTCAACAGGCCAGCCACCAAGGAAAACGCGAGCATTCAGGACACGCTCCACGCTGAAAGCAGTTCGGATTTAGTCGTTACTATTTGGGGGGCAAAAAAAAGCTCCACAGTATGTTTCTCTTACTCAGAGGTTTCCAACACGTTTTATTTTGCAGACCACTGGTTTGTAGCGTTTGAGGACCAACATCTGTATAAACTCCTATAAAACGTCCAATCAGTTTCAGTTCTGCAGCGGCCTCTTCTGTACTGCACACCATGCTGGCGGCCCGAGTTCCAGCTGCACACGCATGAAGGCTGCCCGCTGGGTCCTGAGGGAGGAGGGGCATCCATGCCAAAGCCTCTGCCGGGGAGCTGCATCTTTCCAGCGGTGGTTTCCTTCCGCAAGAAGTGCATCGGTCTACACGCGCAGTTTTGGTGCCTGCAAGCGGAAGCATCCGGAAACTTGAAAGACGTGGTGTTTTTCTCTTACGAAGACAAGACACTTGAGGACTCGGTGCCCTTGTGCTTAGGGACAGGAATCCCTCGCGACTGTTTAGTAAGTTAAAATATAAGAAAGCCTCTGTTTTTATGTAACACAGATAACACCTTTTTAGGTTGCCTATTTATTCTAGAACTACAAAATTTAATTCAAGAAAATATAGGTCCCATGAAAGACTTGAAAGTTTTATAAAACTAAAATCTAGTTTTCCCCGATAAATTGTACTTTAGGCAAAAATCCTCCCAATGCTTCTAAAATAATACTAAAAGGGGCATCTGATTATACAAGAGCAATTAAAAAAATTAAATATTTATTTGAATAACAAGTTTTAAGTTCAAGCTGCAATGTTGGCAATGCAGATTTTTAACACAGATCACAAAAAGCGTGCACAAAAAATACTGGCGCGAAGGACAAAATAACGCTAAGAATTAGGCTAAATAGCTGCTGATTTTAAGAAAACAAAAGGCCTGAAATCACTATACAAAATATAAAATGTATTAAACACTACCATCCACGGAACAGTCTTTATTATTGATTATATTTAAAAATTATTTGCGTAATTTATATATTGAATTGTAAATGAGTATTATACATGAACCCCCTTTTGGAAGGCAGTTCCTTCTTGCACTATAGAACAGTATAGTATCATTGCAAAAAGTATCCTTTTTTTGCTATCAAAGAAAACAGTTAATGGTATTACTGTAAATATCAGGAAGGCTACAAAAAAAGAAATACGATTTCTTTTTTGTCTTCAAGTGCTTTCCATGCAGCGTGAAGCACTTGCCTTGTGGAACTCAATGCACTACTGGACAATGTCCTGGGTCCGGGATGCTCTTGAATGGCAAGACCAGGCTTTACAAATCAAAGACTCAAAGGAATCATGCAACCCTCACTCTAGTGGGATACCGTCGTGTGCCACTTACCAACGCTGTCTTTCCAGAACACCATTCAAGACACTTAAAAAAAGATCAGACTTATTTGATAAATATACATAAAATGAAAAGACACAAACTGCTATTTGACACTACTATTGGTAATGTCTGTGCTATGTGAAAGCACCTTTAAAAAGAGCCTATGCGGCAAGAGATAAGTGTCTAAAGATTCAAAATGAATCAACAGTATTGGATAACAATATAATTCTCAACTCAGAAGCTGCCTCAAGATTAGGTGCATCTTCAGTTAATGTAACAGGAAAAAAGGCAATGGATTTTATTTTATTAATTGTATCCACTCACAAATCGACCTAAGGTCACCGGATGTGTAGACACAATGAGATTTTTGTTGTTTATAGTCTTTAATTGAATTGATGATAAAGGAAATAGATCTATTTAAAAACAAAACCAAACAGCTATTTCTGTCTAGATTAAGAGGTGGCCCCGGGTGTGGGATTCACATTTTGAGTGGCCACTTGTGGTGCGACTTCGATGATCCGGGGTTTGTCTATGATCCTGGCTGTGCGGTTGCCCTTCTCTACAATCCCAATAATCCATGCTTGGTGACCTTCGCCGTACTTGGGGGACTTTATCTCTGCACAGAACCGAGCTGCTTGCTCTCGTGGTAAACAGATCAGAAGGCCTCCTGGCAAAGGAAAATAGGAAATGCCATTAGTCATGACATGAGAGCGGCTTCTCTGCCTCTATCCTTCTAAAAAGCTTCTGCTCAGATCCAAGTTCTGTCAACAACTAGCTGCTATTTCCAAGTTGCTCTTCCCATTCGACTAAGAAGCCTGTTCCGTTCTGCAGAATTACCAAGGAATTAGGCAATGTCCTGGTAAACTCCTATCATATTAAAACACACACATACACTCACAAACCAACAAACTTGAAACTGTGAAATTACCTAGGTGTGAACCATTTAATGCTGCGTAGGAGTAAGATGTTTGGGCCTCAATAATGTAATGGTGACAAACAAGAGAACTTCTGCTTTCCAATTGGACTGTTACATGGATTCCTTCATCTTACCAAGAACCTTTTTTTGGTGGTTGTTGGGTTTTTTTAAAATTTCAGACTCATGAAAGTGTTTGCCTCAAAGTATCTAGATTCTAGTCCTGACTCTGGGATTATCTTCAAAACAGAGAAAAGTATAAAATACATTCAAATAAACCTTTGTTACCCGGCATGGTCACTCACACGTGTAACCCCAGCACTTTGGGAGGGCAAGGTGGGGGGAATGTTTGAAGCCAGGAGTTCAAGACCAGCCTGAACAACATAGTGAGATCCCACCTCTACAAAAAAAAATAAAAAGATTAGCCAGGCACAGTAGTGTGTACCTATAGTCCCAGCTACTTGGGAAGTTGAGGCAGGAGAATCACTCAAGCTCAGGAGTTTGAGGCTGCAGTGAGCTATGATCAGACCACTGCACTCCAGGTTGGGTGACAGAGTCTCAAAGTAGTTAATTAATTTAATTAAATAAACCTTTGTTGCTATTTGTAGTAGCTAGGCTGAAACATTTTATTTCTAAGTAGAAATAACACAATCAGAAAAAAAATTTATACCCTACTCTACAAAAAAGAAAAAATTTCTCATATCTATAAAGGAAACAAATTGGTAATATTCATTAATTCATTCAACATCCATTTAACTCCTACTAGGTGGCAGACACTGTTCTAGCCAGATATTGAACCAGCAGGGAACAATCTCTGTCCTCTTGGGGCTTACTTCTAGAAAACATTGTTTTTTTTAAATGGGAATCTGAAGGGTCTTCTCTCTCTAAAGGTTATGAGAGGCTCAGCAGAGTCCTGACACCCCACGCCACCCCCCGTCAGGGCTTTGTGGTCCAGCAGTGTGGTCACCGCCTCTGGCCCTACACTGGAATTATCCGGGCAGCATTTACTGTTACTGAGGCCCAGATCCCCCCAAATGGATCCCACCAGGTTTTCCGGGGGCTGGGTCTAGGCCTGTGACTTTTTTACATTCCCAGGGGAATCCACTCTTGCCGGAGTACAATACTAGAGTTCTAGAGAAAAGGGAATAGAAATGAGAGAAACTAAAAACAAAGGAAAAAAGTAGGGAGCCTTAAAAGATGAAACAGGATTTAAGGTAAAGAGAAAAGAGGAAAAGAAGGGAAAAATAAAAATGGCACTTTGAAGACATAATATACTATTTCGTTCTTAAAACAATGACTTTAGATCTTTAGACATTGTTTTCAAGGAAAAAATATATAGCCTGTTCAATGTGATCTGTATTACAGTTTATTTCAAATGCTAAGTTTCCAGTGAAAATTCAATAATGACTTATTTTCCCCATATTCTCCCTCTCCCACGCCTATCGCCGTATTTCTACATCAGAAAGGAGAGCACAGGTCACCCAACTTAACACTGCTCCATGACACCCAGGACAATGGGGACTGCAGCCCACCTGGGAGGCAGGAGGCACCAGCAGCTAAGGGGCCCAGGCCACCAGGCTGCCCTCCTACAAAGTGGGGTCCCTGGCATGGACTCGACTGCTTCTTTCTCATGGAACTTTCCGTCAGCCTCACTAGTTTAATCCTCAGACTGGGCCCAGCATCCTTGTACCTGACGTCTCTGGGCAGGTCCCGTGCATGAGGCCGAACATGTTTCCGCAGGCCTTGCTCACCGCAGCCATCTTGGCCAGCACGGGAAGGTTGTGAATCACGAACGACACCTCGTTCCTCTGCTGCTTGGCCAGGTTCTGCGCGTGGCCCAGGATCCCAAAGCCTGTGATGTCGGTGGCCGCATGGGCGTTGAACGTGTGCATGAGTCCTGCGGCTGAGAGGGGGCAGAAGGGTGAGTGACTCTGAGGGAAAAATACCTTTCCCAACTCGAAATCTCACATACACCGTTGATCTGAAAATTCCTCATCTGTCAGGGAGATGACTGACATACAGGAATAGTGAAAATGTAATATACTGAAAAATCAACCCAAACCGCAGTGAAATTCTGATTTTTTATTTCAACTTGAACCACCTGGAAACTATCAGAAGCTTCAGTCAATAGTAATTTTCCAGTTAATAAAAAAAACTATACGGAGGAATTATAATCTCAATGGAAGGTAAACCTGGCAAGACTGCCCTAGAATCAAAGAACAGGACTTTTTGAGAATGCCTGACTTAAAATCAAGGTACTCTCGCTAGGGATGAATTAGATTAATTGCCTGAAAGTTTAATCTTTTTGTTTTTTAATTGTAAAAAATGTATACTTTTTGGAGTAGTTTTGGGTTTAGAGAGAAATTGAGTAGGAAGTACAGGCAGTTGGCATGTACCCCTCCCCCAGTTTCGCCTACATTAACACTGGTGTAGTCAGTACCTCTTCCGAGCCAATGCCAATGCGTGACTATTACCTAGAGTCCATAGTTTACATTAGGGGTCACCCCGCGGTCAATTCTGTGGGTTTTTACAAATGTGCAATGACATGTATCTAACATTACAGGATCATGCAGCAGTTTCCCTGCCCTAAAATGCCCTGTGCTCTGCCCGTTCACCCTCCCTCCCCCTGGCCGCCACTGATCTTTCTGCTGTCTCCATAGTTTTGCCTTTTCCAGAATGTCATGTAGGTGGAATCCTGCTGTACACAGCCTTTCCAGATTGGCTTCTTTCCACTTAGCAATATGCATTTAAGGTTCCTCCAAGTCTTCTCATGGCTTGATAGCTCACTGCTTTTTACTGCTCGACACTCCATAGTATGAATGCACCAGTTTGTTTATCCATTTGTCTACTGAACAAATGGCTGCTTCCAAGCTCTGGCAATTATGAGTGATGCTGCTATGAACATCTGTGTGCCAGTTTTTGTGTGAATGTAAGTTTTCAATTCCTTTGGGTAAATACCAAGGAGCACAATTGCTGGATCACATGGTAAATATATTTAGTTTTGTAAGAAACTGCCAAACTGTCTTCCAAAGTGGCTATACCACTTTTCATTCCTACCAGCGATGAATGACAATTCCTTTCATTCCATATATATCCTTGCCAGCATTTGGTGTTGTTAGTGTTTTAGATTTTTGCCATTCTAATAGATGTGCAGTGGTATCTCATTGGTGCTTGAATCTGCAATTCCCTAATGACAAATGATGCTGGGCTTCTTTTTATGTGTTTATTTGCCATTAGTTTATCTTCTTTGGTGAGGTGTCTGTTAAGGTCTTCGCATCATTTTTTAATCAAATTTTTTTTGTTTTATGATTGTTAAAGAGTTTTATGATTGTTAAGAGTTCTTTGGATACCAGTTCTCTTGGATACCAGACCTTTATCAGGTATGTTTTACAAAGATTTCCTCCCAGTCTGGGCTCGTCTTTTCATCCTGTTAACAGTGTTTTTCACAGAGCAGAAGTTTTTTATACTAATAAAAAAGCTCTATTTATCAATTTTTTCTTTTAAAGATAGTGCTTTTAGTGTTGTATCTAAAAAGTTACCGCCAAACTCAAGGTCACCTAAATTTTCCCCTATGTTATCTTCTTGGAGTTTTATATTGTAGTGTTTTACAATTAGGTCTATGATCCATTTTGAGTTAATCTTTATGGAAGGTGTAAAGTCTGTGTCTAGATTCATTTTGTGCATGTGGATGTCCACTTGTTCCTGCACCATTTATTGAAAAGATTCTTTTCTCCACTGAATTGCCCTTTGCTCCTATGTCAAAGATCAGTTTGATTATAGTGTGGATCTGTCTATCTCTGGGTTTTCTATTCTGTTCCTTTGATTTATAACTTTTAAGTTTCTTACAAGTTAGAAAAATATAGAAAATTTTTATTTTAAAATGAATCGCTCAAACGTAGGCAAAAGAAAATTTATTGGCACTTCTCTCTGGTATAGAACATTATCTAGCCATTAAAAAGTATGTGTACGAGGATAGATGATAATATGGAAAAAAGAATTTAGTAACGTTAAATGAATAAAAACAGACTCCAAATAGATACAAAAATTATATTAACTACTAGTTTAAAACAACAGTAAATGACCAACCAAATGTAAAAAAACGTTTTGGAAAAATACATAAAAATACTGTTTTTGGGGGGTGGGAATATGGAACTATGGACAATTTCTTTTTCTCTATTATTTTCCATTTTCTAAAAACTTTTCTATAATGAGCATATAATTCTTTTACAATAGAAAAAATACGTAAAATAAATGGGAAAAGAAGATACATTTAAAAACAAGTTTTAAAATGCAGTGCACCACTGTGAACTGTGGCGAACACTTCGGAAAACAGCGTGGCACTATATGGAAAAGCTGAGGCAGCACTGACCTCTTACACGCGTGCATCAGCAAGCTTGCCCAAGGAGGCTCATGGCAGAAATCCAAATGTCCACCCACAGCGGACCAGGTAAGTCGGTTACACAGTGGAAAATATACAGTGGTGGACATGTTTGAACTATAGCCACACACAACAAGGAAGAATCTCAGGAACGTTAAATGGTGGATGAAACAAGTAAAAAAAAAAAAAAAAAGCAAAACTAATTTATTGTTTGAGGACATAAGCCTATGTGATAAGAAACATTCTAAAATGCAAGAGAACAAACACAAAACTCAGTGGTTATCCCTTAGTAGAAATGCAGGCGATAATTGGGGTGTGGGCACCTCTGGGCTTCCAAGGTCATGTTCTGGAAATTACTTCCAGAATATAAATTTTCTCAATTTCCATTCTAAATGTTGGTTTGCTCCCAAATCATTTACATAGAGCAACCCAACAAGTGTCTTCCAGAAACAGTCTGCCCGGCATGTCAGGTCAGGACTTCAAAAGATCCACAAGAAGTGCTTTCTTCTAAATTGTAAAAATATAACTGGCGCTTTCTACACACATATGAAAGCCAACAAAAGCTGTGAGTATACGATGCTGAAACTACGCCAGGTGATTCCCTTGGCAAGCTTTTTCTGGTACAAGTCACATATAACACTCATTTCCACTGAGGACACGTCATGCATTAGATTCCCATTATCGATGATCCTGGGCTCATGATGGGGTTAGGTCCTGATAAACCCACTGTAAGCTGAAAATGCATTTACTGCACCTAACATCACAGCTCAGCCTAACCTGCCTCACGTGTGCTCAGAACACTTACATTAGTCTACAGTTGGGCAAAATCATCGGACACAAAGCCTATTTTACAATAGAATGCTGAATGTCTCGCATCATCTGCTGAATACTGTACTGACGGTTACAAACAGAATGGCTGTGTGGGTACTCGAAGTACAGTTTCTACAGGATGTGTAACGCTTTCGCATCACAGTGAAGTTAAAAACCACAAGTTGCACCACTGTAAGTCGGGGCCCACCACCTATGGAACCCAAACAGGTGCCACCAGAAGATGGTCTGAAGTCACTGGCCAGATCTGGCCCATGGCCTGTGTCCCCAGCTAAGAGTTTCGGGGGGAGATCAATATGAAGCTGAGACCGCACGTGACCTGCAAAACCTAAAACATTTACTATCTCGGCCTTGGGAAAGTCTGCCAACCCCTCGCCACCCGACGTCGTACCTGTCCTGTTGAGTCTCGCCATGTTCATCATCGCTTCTTGGTAGGCCAACTCCACATCTTCTTGGGTGACCACTAGTTTAATTTTATTCCATTTTTCAGGCTAGTAATAGGAACACAGGTGAGGGAGAAAAGATGGAGAAATCCAATTAATCCTTACTTCTAGCCACTGACAAAAAGAGGAACAAATTTTTCTTAGTCATCTTCTGGGGAGCTTTATCTAATTTTGTACAGAATATTACGTTTTCTAACTCTTTGGTTTTTCTGTGATTAGTATTTTAAGTATCCATTGGACCTGTCGGTACAGTGTCTCTTCTGTTCGCATCCCACATTTCTGTAATCAAGTGTCACGGCTGCTGGGCGTGCACACCTGCAGGACGTCCGGCTGTGCCGCCGCACACACGGGGCTGCAGCCTGTCCCTCTGCGGCAGTGTGTACATCGCATCATTAACAGCTTTGCGTGTCCTCTGTTTCTCCTCCGCGTCTCCCTTATTAAGCTGCCAGCTTTTACTTTCCAAATTGCAATTATATTCTTACTGACTTTAACTGAATTTCGGAGTCAAGCTATGTTGGTGGATCAACGAAAGTGAAAACAACTTTAACTGCGAACACACTGGGGACAACCTCTGGTGAGGTTGTCCAGAAAAGGTGTCAGAAAAAGGACAAAGAAAGCTGTTCTCTCTTTTCCTCAGTCTGATGTTCAAAGAATCTAGCATCACGAGGCTGGGGGCACGGCACACGGACCTCACAGTGCATTCATTACCCTCACGCGTGCATTCGCTTGTTTGTTTTTTAATACTATTACAGAAATCCAACCACCTACCTCCCAACGCAGTAACTAGACGTGAGCAGTAACTTCTGTCTACCCTCATCCCGTTGCCCCGTCGCTTCCTGAGGGGTACAAATTGTTCCGAATTTTGCACTCATCCCCCTGCCTTTTAAAACACAGTACTCTCCCAACGGCTGCCTAAGCGATACATCCCTTGGCTGTTTCTGATCTTTACAGGAAGTATGTTGCGCTGTTACACAATCTTTGGAACTTGCTTTAGTCAATCCTGAGCATTTTAAGAAATACTGGTTGAAAAAAAGCAAAGGTAAGGGAGAACAGAGGGAACCCCGAGCCCCCCGTCTCTGACAGCCCTGCCTCGCCTGCTCCCAGCTCCCCAGCCAGGTCACGCGGGCCTGGGCAGCCGTGCTGGAAAGCTCCTCTGTGCCTTGTTCTTGGCAATGGCCTGACCTTCCACCCCACTTTACACCGCAGGTGGGGAGGAAAAAAAGGCAAAAGAATGGGACAGCCTTAGAGAATCTCTCTACTCTGCTGTATCAAGCTAAAGATACACCTGGTTGATGTAAGACATACAATTGTTGATTATTCTTTTTCAACTGTTTCTCAGGACTAGTAGTTTCAGATGATAGTTGTAGAAATTGCACCATAATATGTGAGAAGATACTACAATCTTATTAATTTGTGAGTTGTTATGGCAATGAAAAAAAGGCAATCTTAAGTATGATTACAGCTCAGTGGAAAAATGGCTCAGGGGAAATATCCTCATATTCTAGATTTACTCTCCATAAGAGAATTATTTATTAAAATGTTCTTAGTTACTAATCAGTTGAAAAAGACAAAACTACCAAACAAAAACTACCTCAAACCCATTACTAAAACAATCTAAATTGTCAACAACCCTGGCTTATTTACATCCAAACCACTACACTCCCACAAATTCTCTGCCACCTTATTTTTTAGTTACGTTTAAGTTGTGAAAGACAGAGCTATCTGGCACCAAACGAACAGACAAAGCCTTCCAAATTCTGTACAGAAAATCCACGAGGCCCCAAGCTAGGGCTTCCCGACTGTGATCAAGCATTCAACATGTGAAACTTGCACTTAATTTACCTGAAAACTCATTCACCCCCCGCCCATCATGCGCAGCGGTTTACTCACAATATCCAGCCACTGGTGCACAGCGACAGCGACTTGTGTCCCCAGGGGTTTCGTCAACACCAGCACGTCCCCTGGCACTGCATTATCTGGCCTAAAGGAAGGAAAAAGGGCCCGTTCTAGTCAAACTAACCAAGGAGATAAACTCATGATTATCATAACAGGAGAAGGAAAATTCTGTTCGAAACATATTTGTTTTTGCGTTTACTTAAATTTAGGCCAACTATCAGCATGTACTGGATTGTGCCTTGCAACTTGATACTAAGGCTACTGCTGGAATAAAGCATTAAACATGAGCCAATTACCTACTAGATTAAATAAAATGGGCACCAAGATGCCAATCACTTAGCCATCAAAGCTTTCATCAGGCCCATGTTGCCCTTCCAGTGTCTATGAGCGTGTGTGTAATTTCCAACACAGACCCACAGAGTTCCACAGTGATTTGAGGCAACAAGACTGCTGTAGCAAAGAATGCTTTGTTTATAATCATTTCTATGAAAGACTCAGGTGGGACTTTTCAGTTTATGAGATTTGGCTGGAATCTGTGGGTCTGATGTCTTAGTGATTCTGAACCCAGGTTCTGAAACTCAGACTGACCGCTAAGAGTTTCCTACTTGGCACCCAGACTCCCAGCTACTCTCTGTGACAGACGGCAATAGGACAAAGGCAACCCTGAAAAGACGACGACTGACCCCCAAAATATCTACCATGTTTGTATCCTCACTGCCAAGACACAGGTCTGCCAGTTCTCTCTTTCCCAGCTTGAGTTGTTCACGTAGCTGTTACAGCCTGACGCTGGACTCCTCAAATACTCACCGAAGTCAGCAAAAACAAAAGCCAGGGCACAGACTTCCAAACCAACACCTTGCTCCCCAGCTCAACCTATACTATTTGTATCCACTCTCAGCTTTGAAAAATATAATTTTGTGATGGTATACAAGAAATCTGTTTTCCAAAAACTAGACTTGAAGACATGAATGTCTTTCGATTTGGACTCAGCTATGAAGCTGACATGTTCTTGCATTTCAACAGTTTTATGCAACCTATGAACTCGTATCAATAAGGTAGGTGTGATAAAACTGGTTATTTTTAAGGTTATGAGCCGTATTAGACAAAATGTAATTATGTATATAGGCTCATTCATCTTTTACAAAGTAAACATAATGCACTGGCAAAAAAATTCATAAAAAGTGGTTATATCCTTTTTTTCTTCCTCCAATTTTTTGCTACCATTAAGTTCTTTTTCTACCAGAAAGCTGGAATCTGTGAGACAGATGGAATTCAGGGTCTTTTGCCCCATCTAAGTGGAAAGTTTGAGGATTAATGACATAAAACATGCACTGGGAAAATAAAACCTTAAATAAAATGCAAGATCCTTAATAGGAAAGCTGTCAGATATTGATCCTAAAAGGAGCTCCCATCAATTGAAAAATGGGCGAAAGATAAGAATATATGAAAAACATGCTCAACCTTACTCACAAGAATGAGGTTAAAAGCACCCAACAGATTGGTGCAGACTCGGAAGTCTGTTAACACACTGTGCTGGTTAGGATGTGGGGAAACCAACACTCCCATTCACTGCTGATGGAACATAAATTGGTAGCAAAACTAGAAGCACACATCCCATCTAACCGAGCAATTCTATTAAAAAAATCTTACCTACAGATGCACACGTGCAAAAAGATGATCTAAGTACAAGGTAACTCACTGGAGTATTATTTGTAATGTCAAAATGATGGAAAATATTCTAAATGTCAGTAGTAGGTTGGTTAAAAATAAACAGGGACTGGCACAGAGGCTGCCTCTGGGAGACAAACTGGAGGCCCAGACACAGGTGAGGGCCTCTGCATCACAGATCCTTTTTATACTTTGAATTCTGAACCATGCAGACATGGTACCTTATTAGTACCTATTCAAAAAATAAAATAAATAATTGGAGTTTCCACCTCCTTCAGAAAATAGAACACGTAGCTTTTCTTAAGAAAACATCAGATATGGAAAGTGATGACTTCAGTTAAGAGAGAAACTTCTCCAAAGAAGATATACAAATGGGGAATAAGCACGTGAAAAGATGCTCATCATCACTGGTCATCAGGCAAATGCAAAATGCAGATCAAAACCCACGAGATACCACTTCACACCCACTAGGGCAGCGCGAGTCAGACGGACAGACTAAAAATAAGCCTGGGAGGGGAGGTGGGGAAACCGGAATTCTCATACACTGCTGCTGGGAATGCGAAATGGCGCAGTCGCTTGGGAAACCAGTCTAATGGTTCCTCAAGTAAGACACAGTTACCAAACGACCCAGTCCATTCTTAGGTACAGACCCAAGAGAACTGGAACTTAGGACCAACGAAAAACTTGCACCTGAATGCTCGCAGCAGCACAATAGGTGGAAACAACCCAAAGGTCCATCGACTGATGAAAGGACAAACAGAATGTGAGAGATGCCCGTACAATGGATGATTCAGCCACCAAAGAGAAAGCAGTACTGACTTATGCCGCAGTACGGATGAACCTTGAAAATATTATGTAAGTGAATGAAGCCAGACATAAAATGTCACACGTTGTATGATTCCATTTATATAAAATGTCCAGAATTGGCAAATCCCTAGAGACAAAAAGTGCATCAGTGTTTGCCAGAGGACGGGGGGAGGAAGGAATTGGAAGTGACTGCAAATGGACACAGGGTTTCTTTTTGGGGTGATGGAAATGTTCTGGAATTGGATAGTGGTGACGGTTACACAACCCTGTGAATACTAAAAACCAATAACTTGTATATTTTTAAATGCTGAATTACATGTTATATAAAAAAATCAACTTACATGATAAATTCATTTGGCTGGCAGACAGTTGTAGCAACTCCTCCCAGAACAATCCAGGGGTTCAATACTGTTTGGCCACCTGTTACAGATGTCCCTGCTTCCTCTGCTGCGTCTTTAAAACCCTGTATAATCAGGGGCATCACTTTATCTCTTTCCTAGGATTTAAAAGGACACATATGAAAAGTCAAATAGTTCTATTCAAAACCCAGAAAGAGGGCTCTACATTTATAGTTAGAAAAAGAACTGCAAAATCCTAAAGGAAGTCCTGCAAGTTTACACAGGGCAGAATGTAACAAAAGCCAGGGAATACTTCACATCGTAACCACTTTATCAACGCTGGAAGACGTTCTGGGTAACAATGTGAACCACGCCTGGACAACTCTGTATGTGACACAGTCCACAGGACTGGCCCTAAGTGTGATGACCACTAGAAGTCAGCTCTCTGATGCTCCTTAAGGATCCCAAGACCAGCTCACTACGCTCACGTACCCCTGCCCTCGAGGCTTCCACCCTACCAAGGAGTGCGAAGATTGGCTGAGGGCTACCAACAATGCACACCTGCAAAGCCCTTGCTGAGGCCACAGTGCACAGTGATGACCACAGCACACATTCTAGGGCAGAAAAGGGCCTACTGCAAACTCGCATTTCTGTAAGGTAGGGCAAACTGTTGGGGTCTTTTTGGACGAAAACAAGTACCTGTCAAAAGTCACTTAAATGGAAATTCACTTCTGGTTCAAGGACACCGAGGCCTGGGCACATGAACATGTGATGGCCCCACCCCCACCCGTCTACACCAGTGACACCCCCAGCCACCAACAGAGAAGGTGCCTGGCCCTACGTGGCACCTGTCCCCGATTCGTAGGGCTGTGCCTGATCCCCAGGACTGGCACTGAGGCACTATTACTATGGCCAGAACTTTATTAAAACAAATACCCAGAAATGTCTTGGTTTCAGTCTACCCGGAGGAGAGAAAGGGAGCAGGTGGTAGAGATGAAAAGATGAACAGGCCAGACTCTCTCATTTTAATTTACTGGTAACTGCCAAAAAGTGGAGAGCCGGAAGGAATACTGGAAGCCATATGGCCTGGGCGCCTCACTTTCCAGATGGGAAACGAAGTCTAACCAAGTCCAGTGATGCGACCACAACACGCAGACCGGTGAGCAGCTGGGCGCCTCCTACTTACCCTATCGGTCATTTTATTACTGACTCCGAGGAGCATCAGCATATTGTCACATTCTGTGACCCCCATCGCGTAGAGGTCACTGAGGACATTGGCACATGCTATCCTGCCCTGGGAAGAGAGGGGAAATGTGAGAAAGGATAACTGGGGACTTTCCATCTGTAGAAACAAAGAGTGAGCCCACAGAATGACCTCCAAGGACAGCCTGGGGACTTTCCAGGAAGAGCAGCTACTGGGACGTGGTCCTCAGTTTCCACGATTTACAAGACTACGTTTGTTTAACCACAGAACCACTAGGCCATTTACCTTTTTCCCAGATATTTCTGTTTCCACCTCTTCTTTCTAGTGCAGAACAGAGAATTTACAAGCTGTTTCCCATTCTAAATATTGGGAGAAGTCTGCGGTTTATTTAGGCAGGGGAAGGTATGTTGGGGGGTGGGTAATGACAGGAGGAGGTTAGAATCCATGGTCTAGGAGGGAGGTATGCAGTGCAAACGTCTGAATACAACTGTCCTAAAGCAAAATTAGAAACAGCCACTTATCCCAGATTCTAAAAAATGTTGATTTTAGTGGTTAGAGAAGGAAATGGTTTTTGTGCACTTGGATTGAGAAATTCTTACAGCTTTTGTTCAAGGCTGTAGGAATCAAACAGGAAAATCATCTTGTTTGAAAAAAAAAAAAAAAAAAAAAAAGAAAAGAAAAAACATCCAGGGTTGAAGTCATACTGTTTTTGAAAAAAAAGAGAAGCAGTTTCCAGTAAACTGTACCGTTTTATTAGGAGCTTTAAAATACAACTCAATAGAAATGTGATAATGAAGATTTTTTTTTGCCATTGGAGATTTTTAAAGTGTAAGCTGCCATTGTCTAAATCATTATTTTTTATAGACGGTAAAGAGAAAATGACAATTTCTCCTTCTGACATAAGGACAATTAAACTCCAAAGTAGTATCATTTCCGATGACTGTTTATTGGCTTGTTTGGTGCTTTCTTATAAATCCCTAATAGATCAGCAATGCAGCTCAATAACCTTCTGTAGATACACTTTCAACATCACCAAGCCTAACAGGGGGCCTGCAACTTAGAGATGCCAAGGACTGGTTAGCATGGCAGTGACTTGCTTGCTGCCCCTTCTTCTCTGGGCATTCTCTCTTTAGCAGATGCTGCAAAAAGGACCATTTCCGGTTCCGGCCATCTCCGCCACCTGGTCAGGTGGGACAAGGGTGTGGCTTATCTGCCCAGTCTCCAGAGTATTGCTCTAGAGCAGAGAACAGATGGATACGCAGAGGGAATATAGGTTTCCAATAAACTGTTTACTTGTCACTGGCACCTGAGACATGAGCGTCCATTTGACTACCTCGTGGTGAAGTCCCTGTGGGTGCAGCTCAATCCCAGAGTCCTTGCTACCCAGGAAGGACAGCTGGCATTTTATAGCAAATGGAATATTCCCAATCTCTTCATTGGCTCCTCTTGGCTGGCAGAAAACTGGGATTAAAGGTTGGGTGGATCAAAGAGCAGCTGGCTGCAATCAGGCACCGAACGACTGGGAAACGCACCTGCGAGTGCATGGTCAGCAGCTGGGAACTTCAACTCCGGGCTCAGAGACGTGTTACACACAGCAGCGTGTAACATCATGGTGGGTGAGTGTGTATGTGGCGGGGCGGGGGGAAGTAACCGGATATCAGAATAAATGCTCAAGAAGTCTAACTGTGATGAGATGCTAAGCTCCTGTATTTCTGGGAGGAAACATTTAGGATCGGTCCTATTACAAGGTGTAGCAACATCTCCATCCTAAAACACAGGAATGTCAAAGAAAGAAAGGCGCAGGGAAGAAGAAAACGACAAAGACGTTAGTCCGCAGACACTCAGCAACAGGTGTTCTCACACACAGACGCGTGCTCAGCCGCAGCAGCAGAGGGACTTCCCTGCTTCCACTGTAACCGCTTCACGCGTCGTGCCAAGTGTGAGCAGGGGACAGGTCACACAGCCCCAGTGGGGGAGGCAGGGCGGGGTCGGTGTAATCTGGATGTTACAGAAACAAAACCAAAAACCCACCCACACGGACACAAAACCCCAGTCATAACCAAAAACCGAACGCATAAGCAGCTCTGGTTACAGAAACTTACCATCATGTAGGGGTCGTCCACGATAGGATAAATGTAATCCGTGGTTTGAACCAAGGAAAGACCACCGTGCCTCAGAGGAATGACGCAAGTATCCATTCCAATGCCTGCGGAGATGGAAGTCGTCAGCACCCACACATGGAACGGGAAAGCCATTTCGCGTTACAGCACAGTGCCCGAACAGGAAGAGCCCTGTGCGAGATACGTACGGAGACGGCACGCTGCCAACGAAGCCATGTGTTTCCTATCAAGAAGCGTAACTGAAATAAACCTGAAACATAACTAGCTCGAGATAGGAAACAGGAATAAAAATGGTACTCATCAAGACTTAATTTCAATATGGCGCAATTTTTAAACCTTAATGAGGCCTTGAATAAAAATTTTCCTTTTTACTATATTATTTTTTCTTCTATTATTTTACTGTATTACTGTATCATGTGCCTGGCACCATAGAGACTTGCTTTAAAGATAAGAATAGTACAAACGGAACTTGGGTTATTTTATCCATAGTTTACTCTGAGTACATCTTTAGATGTTATCCTGCTTTCCCAACAGAAAATCTGTAAAATATTTTACAAATAGAAAATGCTATTACTTTTACATTTTAATCAAAAATAAAAATGACAAAAAAGGAAAGGACAATGCCAGATCGGCGATTTCTTTATTTCCAGTTAAGCATGTATATAACCACTCTGGCACCTACGTAATCCACTTGTTATATAGGTTCCCAAAAGCCTTTTTTAAGAAGAAATCTTCAAATTTCATGTTATTCCCCTAGTAAAAAAAACTTATAAATGCAACCTCTGCTAACTCATAATATGAACAGGGACTGGCCTTAAGTTTAACTTCTGTCCATTAAAAAGAAAACTGCTAAACAAGCCTGGGAGAAATTTAGAAATAAAAGTTATTCCTAAATAGTTAGAAAGACAGTATGGACAACTGATGGGCTAATTAGAAAAAAATTTCTTTTTCCTGAAATCAAGTGTTGAAGTACTCAAGACGAGCTACCATAGCCTGCATTTCTTTAAAAATCACCTATAATGCTGACATTTTACAAGTTCAAGCCTGGCATTCCCACCAGGTAAGCTGAATACAGAGTGCTTCCCTACACCCCCTTTGGCAGGACAGCCTTCTGCCCTTTCGTAAAGTACAGCTGTTCCTCAGTATCCGCAGGGGACTGGTTCCAGGACCCCTGACGGATGCTAAAATCCACGGATGCTGAAGTCCCGGATATAAAAAGGTGTAGTATTTGCATACAACCTATGCACACCCTCCTGTATACTTTAAATCATCTCTAGATTACTTATAATACCGAATACAACGTAAACGCTATGTAAATAGTCGTTATACTGTATTATTTAGGGAATAATGACAAGGAAAAAATGTCTACACATGTTCAGTACAGATGCAACCATCCATTCTTTTCTCTGAATGTTTTCAGTCCGTGGTTGGTTGAATCCACGGACGAGTACCCTTTGGATGAAGGGCTGGCTGTATTTGCACTTTGCAGTCCAACAACCATAGGCAACAAAAATAAGGAAGACGTATAGAAGGAAGCGAGTCACGTGTTGGACTCTACTCCATACGTTTGGAATTCCACACACAAGAAGAATTAATTATATCTGAACCACAATAAAACTGACCTTTCACATTTTACATAAAGAAAACAGTATACTGAGAACCCCCATGTCAGTATCACGATAGTGACAGACCTAACAGAGGCTGGGCCATGCAGGTACCTTATCTTTCCTGATGCAAAAATAAAATCAAGTTTTGTGATTGTGAAGGCAGGCTGATTTTTTACTGAACTAGATGGCAAAACAGAAACTCTTGGTGGAAGACCCAGCTAGGGAATACAGAATTTAATTTCAGAATAGCAAGTCTCACAGATCTGAGACAACAGGAATATACTTTACTAGTGATCAGTTTTCATTTGGCAGACAGGAATATGTATGATAATTCACGTAAACAGCAGTTACGTACGCAGCCTCTCGGAAATTTATAAAACAATGCTCTTTAGCACTTACATGGAAATAGGGTAAGAATCACACTTTAACTTAATGGATTCTCCCTAAATTGATAGCTCCAACAGCTGGTTATTCTGTGTCTAGTAAGATTTACTTTGGAAAAGAGTGAAATGTGACTACTAGCAAAAATTTAAATTACACATGCGGCTTGCCTTGTATTACTTTTGGACAGCTCTAGAGTGATCAGTTTAGAAATCACCTACTAAGTTTCATGGAAGGAAGAGAGAAGGGGTGAGCCTGAGATGGGTTATAGGCCTTGAAAAGCTAGGGTTTCAAGTTGAAAGAGAGGGACAGTCCAGGCAGAGGGCAAGGAGGACCGGAGGAAAATGCCGCAGAGTCGGGGGAAGCCTTGAACACCAGTTCAGGTTTAATTATCAAGAGGTAATGGGGAATTCTAGAACATTTTCAGCAAGATTGACACCCTCCATTGAGAGAAATAACCCAAGTCATCATACTGCTACCACCATCACCAGCAGCAATCAATACGTGACAGCTCTTATGTACCAGGCAACAGATTTATCATTTCTTCAGTTAGGATACACCCAGTAAACATGTACAGGTTTAAAAGCTGTTTTGGTTCATCCTTCAATTATATCATTTCAGAATCCAGGAAATATGATCTTCGATTAGAAAAAAATTAAAACCATAAACATACATGTGTGTGTATACATAAAAACATATACATGCATACACACACATGCATTATGTATGCAGGTATAAATACACACCGTACAGAAACACAGAAAATTTCTGGTACCCACACAATGTCTAACGGTATCGTTATCCCATTTCATAGATTAGGAAACTGAGACTCAGGAGGGTTAAACAACATTAGTGACTAGTAAGTGACAGTGCCGGGGGAGTTATAAGTAGCAGTTATTACTTCATCCATAAGGTTTCTATTTCATTTGTTTTTGACCATTAAACAATTATCTTTCTTGACAGGTACCGAAGAGTTTCCCCAGTACATTCTCATTTCTTGATAAGGAAGCAGACATGGAATCCAACTCACTCGCCGTTATTTACCCACAGCTTACACATCAGCTGGACAAGAGGGACAGTTTTCGAACTGACTCTTAGGGTCCTACAGGCCACTAGAGCCTGGGTTATAAGTTTTCCTCCTTCCCAATCAAGGCAACTCTGCTTTTATCTATACTGTGCGCTCAAAACCAAGGTGGTAAGACGGGGCTTTACAACAAAATAATGGGCAAAAATAAAATGAAAACCTTATGTAAGAAAGCTGATCGAGTCACAAGGTCACTACAGAATACTCAAACCCCCAGAATACACGTCAAACGCGCACAGGTAAAGTGATCACGGTCGTGCATCAGGTACTTAATAAACCACACAATAAACACTAGTAAACAATATCCCAAGCACCTAGAATTTCTTTCCAAGCTCTCTGGGAAAAAAGAAACTGCTACTGACATCAGGAATTTAGTAGGGAAAAGAACACGGCTCTCATCTCAGATGACAATCTGGGGTCAAGTACAAATTCATCTGGTTGTCTCGGCCCCTTTTGTGTCTGGAGCAGTCCTGTCCCCCGCTTCCCTCCACCCCGAAATTGTCAATGAATGCGCACTGCAGAGGACCCCCAATTCCCTCCCCAACAGTCACTGTTCTCCAAGTACGGTAGAGGATGCTTAAAGTATCGCCTTTCCTAGAGCAACGAAGAGAATGTAAGCATTTTAGGGGTCGTTTTGGGAAAAGGGGATAAGAGTTTCTGTCTAATCTTCAGCTAAGCAGAAAATATGATTTAATTAAAACATGCCTTTTACTGTAATATAATTATCTCAATTGCATACTCTATAGTTTAAAAATTGTTATAGTGCATATCTTGATGCTTTTCAAGTACTTCCTCCAAATAAGTTAGAACAACATAACATAGGTATCATTGGATTGCTCTTTGAGTCCTTACAAAAACTGAAGAAAGAAAAAAAAAGGCAACATGGGAGGAGGTAAGTAGAGAACTCTGGTTTTTGACTCACTGATGGGTTGCAGACTATCAAAGAAACAACAGTATACATACCAAGCCTTGGCATAACGGCTCCCAGAAACTGCTCATCTTCTTGGAAGTGGTTCTCTTGCAAGGGTTCCAGCAATTTCTGCAGGACATCTTGGGGCACCTTGCAGCCTGTGCCCTTCAGCTCGGTGAATCTGGTTAGCCGGAAGCTCTTGTCCAACTCATAACTCTCCGGGTTAAAGGACTCCCGCGTAGACATGGTTCTTGGGCCCACTCCTCACAGCTCAGCCCCTCCCCTCCCTCTCCTGGTTGGCTGAGTCCTTGACAGATCCACCTAGGTATTGCCAAAACACAAAGACACCATTCAAAGAATTCCCACAGTACTGTCGAGCATCCAGTGAACACAAGATAGGGAAAAGTAAATGTGACTCAGGGCTACTGATCCTCTCATCACAGTGACAACACACAAGCCAGAATAAAGCATTTCATAAAGGGACTGAACCATCACGGTCAGCTACGGAAGGCCCGCATCTGGAGTGGGGTTATAATTGTGGCAAGAGGGCCAGCGAGGAAAGTTTCCTCTGAAGAAGGACGGACAGGACAGCAGGTTGAACAGTAAGTCCCAAAGGTTCTTCCAGGGTGCGGTATTACAACTATATTGCTGGTCCCTTCCTCTGTCAACCTGGCAGCGCCATGGTTTAGAAAGCAGAGGTTCTCGCTAAGGTGACTTTTCTGGAAAACCTTTTGATATCTTTTGGTATCTCACACAGCAAAGTGAACCGCCTAATACAGAAACTTAGTGGGAAAGGACAATCATGCAAATGCACTGGACGAAATTCCTTTTGATGCTTTGATGCTGAGTCCTAATCTTAGAAAAACACGTTTTCCCTCTGAGCCAGGAGTATGCAACACAATCCAAACCCAATAGGAGGCCTCGCTCAAGGACACAACTTAAAAACTGGAATGGCTGTTTAGCACAGCAAGGTTTGTGTTCTTCAAGAGAGCGCTTGGAAAGTTCTCTGATGTTTCAATGCAATGCTATTTCCTAGAAAGCAAACATCCCACCCAACAAAACCAGCACACACGTCATTGACAAAACATGCTACTGCTCATTACCGTTTCATTGTAGAACTAATACAGTAAATTTAACCATACTAAACCACTAGCATTTATAGTACTGGGTACCACCACAAGTTTCTGGACTAAGACTTTCTAAGTTTTTTAGCCTTTGGGGCTCAAGCAAAAACCAACATGTGCTCCTAGGGTTTACAAACCTCCAGACTGATGCTTTACTGGGCATAGAATTACAGACACCCCAAGTTTTAGGGTCAGTTTTCCCCATAAAATTTATGATTAAGAACATAATTCCCATTTATAGAGTTTTCCATCCCCTGGGAAGCATATCACTCATTTAAAATAAATCCCACAAAGCCTGAGTATGGGCAGTCATCCAGACTGTCCTCGTTACAAAAACATGTTTGGGATGGACAGTGGAGCAGGAATTTCAGTGGGAAACCTACCACTCTACAGGAGTAAACCTTCCAACACGATTCCCAGAAACCAACCTGCCCCAAAACAGCAGGCGAGCAAAGCGAGTTACAGAGATGGGACTTTCGAAGCCATCTTAGAGCTAGGAAAAAGTTTGAATACACCATTTTCACTTGGAAGGCCCTGGAACAAAAACAACAAAGTCCTTTCCTCACGAAATGCCTTGCGTTTAACACCGCCTCGCCACTACCGGGGGAAAAAAAAAAAAATCCAACTCACGAGGTATCCAGTTATTTTCCTACCTCCAAGCCCTATCCCTCTCCCCATCCTCAAAAACCGGGGAGGAGAATTTGGGGGACTAACTTTCCCAGAGTTTTCAGGGGGGGAAAGTTTAAAACACCTTCAATCAAGAAGGCGCTCCGGAGTTTTAAAATTCCAAATGGAACGAGGGACACGAATCCCAGACTCACATCCCGACCTTAAAGAAGAACAAATTTTTACATTTCTGGAGGGGCTGGGAGAGCGGAGGGGGTGCTTGGGTAAATCTGGAGTAATTAAACAAAGGAGGGTGGGAGGTAAAGGTGCAAAATAAGACTCGGTCTACACCGGCCCAGAAGCCACATGTTTACACCTTTAAAACAATGACATGAATATTTAAAGCTAACGTTTAACCCTTTCCAGCCCAGGCACATTTCCATTTGTTCAAACGAGCGCGGGGCGCGGAGCCCGACAAGCCGGGGGGCCCGGCCAGCGGGGCGGGGACGGGTGCGACCCCCGCCGGCCCAGACCTACCTACCCCCGCGCCCCGAGCCCCGCAAATGCACAAAGGGGCGGCCCCCGCGGCGTGGGCGCAGGGCCCGGCGCTCTCCATGAAGCCCGCGGCGGAGGCGGCCTGAGCGCGGAGGACGGCACTCGGGGACACCTTAAGTCTCGGGCTGCCGCCTTTAGAGGCTCCGCGGGCCGGCGGGCGGGCGGAGGCGGCGCGGAGCCCCGAACCGGGCCATCCCGCGCCGGACTCCCGACGGCGGCGGCGGGGGCGGCGGGAGACGCGCGCGGCCCCCGGCGCGGGGAGGGCGAGAGGTGAGCGCGGCCCAGCGGCCCGGCCGGGGC